CCCGCCGGGACGGGCAGGGATGTGATTCCCGCGCGGCTCTTCCCGCAGTGCTGCTCCTGCCCTATCCCGTCTCCAACCTGGTGCTGGACGTGGTGCTGCTCCTCCTCTACCTCGGCACTGAGGCCACGCGGATCTTCTTCGGTGAGTTCCCTCCCCCAAAATTCCAAAGGCTCCATGGGGAGTGCAGAGTCCTGGGATAACCCCGAAATCCAGCCCCGGATGTTCCAGGACAGGCTGCACGGGGCTTGGAGCAACCTGGGCTGATGGAAAGCGTCCCTGCTCACGGAAGGGGGTGGGAACGAGATGGAATATAAGGTCCTTTCCAACCCAAAGCATTCCAGGATTCCATGTGCTAGTTTAAATCGGATATTGGGAAGAAATTCTTCCCTGTGAGGACGGCGAGACACTGGAACGGATTTCCCGGGGAAGCTGTGGCTGCCCCGTCCCTGGAAGTTCTCACAGCCGGGTTGGAGCAACCTGGACCAGTGGAAGGTGTCCCTGGCCGTGGCACGCCCTGATCCCGTGTATCCCGCAGGCTCCAAGGGGAACCTGTGCCGGCGGAAGGTGCCGCTGTCGCTCAGCCTGGCGCTCACGGTGCCGGCGGCGGCGCTGGCCGGGTACTACCTGCTGCTCCAGACTTATTCCCTGCGCCTGGAATCCTTCCTGAGCGCCATCCTGCTCCTCTTCTACGGCCTCGAGCTGCTCCTGGGCCTCCTGGCGCTGCTCTCCTTCTCCAGGTGCCGCATCCCGGGACTGGGGACACGCCGTGGGAGTTTCCAGGTTGGTTTGGTGCCGACACATCCCTCCCTTTGTCCTTTTCCGTAGTGCGGATCCCTACTGAAGCCACACCGGGGACACAGCCCAGGGACACAGGGAAGTGTGACTGGTGCCAGCTCCACTTCCCAGCCCTGGGAAAGGGAGGGATCCCACTTTTTCCACTCCTCCTTTCACTTGGGCTCATCCCTCCCACCTCTCCTGCTCCTACCTGGACTTGTCATTCCCACCTTTTCTGCTCCCACCTGGACAAATCCTCCCTCCTACTTCTCCCACTCCCACCTGGACACATCCTTTCCGCTTTTCCCACTTCTACACTTGGACTCATCCCTCCCACCTTTCCCACTCCCACCTGGACACATCCCTCCTGCTTTTCCTGCTT